ATAGCAATTAAAATATAATTACTAATGCAAAGATAAAGCACAGAGCATTATGGAAAAATATGAGTTTCATAAAAATTTAAAAAAAATCAAAGAAGACTGCTATAAAGAGAGCAAAATAAAAGTAGAATTGATGGATGAGTAGAAGTGAATTGAGAGTCTGAAAAAAAAAAAAAAAAAAACTACTTCCAGCAGGCAGAAGAACATACTTGTATATGAGTGTCTTGAGGGAGAAGAGAGCATATCAGATTATTAAAACAAATAAATGAAAAAATCACAGGTATCCAGGAATGGAAAAAGTGAGGGGTGAGGGTGGATGGTATGAAGTTAGTTTGAAATGGTAGGAGGGGGTCAACAGGCCCGTGGCCCTGTTAAAATTATACACTTTATGTTGATGGCACTATGAAAATTTTCTGTTTTTCTGAGAAGTGAGATCTACAGGTATCTCAGATCAAGATTATGTTTCAATAGATTCAGTTCCATCCCCAGCCCAAAGATTGCATGTGGATTTTTTTTTTATTATTGAAGCATTGTTGATTGTACATATCTGTGGGGTACAGCATTGGACTTCAATACCTGTGTGCAATATACTATGCTCAAAGCAGGATAATCAGTATATTCAACATTATACAATGTAGTCAATTTTCATGGCTCTTTTCCAATATCACTCTTACTCTCCTCCCCTCCCCCCTTTCCCACCTCTGGTATCCTCAGTTCTGTTCTCTCATTTTGAAAATTCAATGTATTATTGTGATTGTTCTCTCTTTCTTCTTCTTTCTTTTTTTTTTTTTTTCTTTTCTTTTCTTTTGCTCCCACTTATAAGTGAGGACATGAGGTATTGCTCTTTCTGTACCTGGTTTTTTTGCTTAACATAATTTTCTCTAAGTTCTTCCATGTTGCCGCAAATGGTGATATTTCATTTTTTTTTTTATAGCAGAGTAGTATTCCATTTCATGTGGATCTTATTACGGAGAACTCTGGGCTAGAAATGTTACTACAGATGACAGCTCAACTTTGTTAACTCACTGTCCAAACTCTCATTTTGTCACGTTGGTGTTAGGGAAGCTGGTTGCCCATTGAAAAAGCAGCAAATATAGTTCTATATCTCACATAAGAATAAATTCTAAGTGGATTAATGATGTCAATATAAAGAGCAAAATCATAGAGGTGTTAAATATAAACAAATTTGAATATAAATTTGAGGTTTCTGGGGAGGGATTTCCTGAGGAAAACAGGCCACCAAGAATTCAGGATAGACTGCCCAATGTTTTTGAGTTGAACCACACTGTAAAAAAGTTAAAAAATATGGATAGGCTCTGAAGACATGTTGCAACAGATAAAATTCACAAGAGTTTATTATTATGAATATAAATACTGTATCTCCTACTAATAAATAAGGCAATAAACCCAATGAATAGTGAGCACAGGTTATTAGTAGACAATTAATGAACAAAAAAAATGTTTAAAATGTTAAGTCTCTCTATTTATTGGAGAATATGAAACTAAAAAGAATATAACATTTGTATGTTAAGTACTTCCTGTACCCTAACTACTCTGCTAAGCACTTTTATACATTATCTCACTTAATCTTTAGAATATCCTGTGATTTAGGACTATTGGTCTTCTCATTTTGTGAGTGTGGAGACTGGTGCTCAAAAAAGTTAAATACATTTTACAAGTTTGCAAGGAAATTGGCTTTCTTTGACTTCAAAACCCAGGCCCTGTGTTCTGGTCTTTATGATACTGTCTTTATCATTAAATGAATTGTGGCATCATTTTTGTCTCTCTGCTTGAAAAATGTTTAAGTGATTTATAATATCCAGTGTTTGTTAGGGTTCAATTAAAAGAGTTCATTCTTGTCTGTAGAAGGGAAATGTAGAAGCGTCTATCAAAATTTAGTATATATTATACCAATTCTTGTGTATATGCAAATTAATGCATAAGAAGCACTAGAGCATTGTAACTGATGATGTGAAACTGGTAACAATGTAATTCCCTCAATCTTAACATACAATTAAATTGTTAGATTATATACAAGTCTCCTCTTTTATTCCATGCAATTATTATGAAAAGATGAGTTGTGTCTAGATAATTTGCCAAAGAATGTTATCCATTACATATTGGTAACTGAAAAAGAAATTGCAGAATATTTTGTGCAGTAAAGTTGCAGTGTATAAACAAAAACAATTCCAAGTAAGTAAATGTGACTCTGTCTGTGGGTGAATGTATAGAAAAAACATCTGATAGAACATACAATAAATGTTTAATGCTGGTTAATTAAAATTTTAATTAAACGGTGGCTTGGATGGAAACATAAGGGCCAGTCCGTATGTCACTACAGACTACTGTGACACTTGATTCTCATAACATTAAGCATTATTAATTTTAACATTAAAAATGCAAAACTACAGTTTTCAAGTACTTTTCTGATTATTAAAGATATTAAAATGCTTTCTTTAGTCATTCATTTTGCTCTGTGCTGGTGGAGATGTGTAAATGACTAACACATGGATATTACCGTGAAAGAAGGGTCCACTATGGAGTAGTTCAACCCTGGATTTAACCAACCCCAAAGGAATTGAAATAAATTATCTCCTGAGTGTAGACAAGGTGCCATGTGCAAATTAGAAAAGTTAAGTTTAGCCAAAGGGAAACCAGGTCGATTGTATAAGCTGATTGGTACACTTTTCCTTTTATCTCACTTTATTTCCTGGCTTTCCAGAAGGGTATGTCATGATATCACCATATCTCTTCAACTTCTCTCTCCTTGTATTCTTTCTCCCTTTTCTCTAGTCTCTCAGGAATTTATAGAGTGACCATAGAAGGTAAAATTGTGTTATCTTTGTGTAGTATTCAATCTTTATCTTTATCTTTAGACCTTTGAAGTGTTTTAGCTTACAGTTTATTACTATTTTTTTTTTTTTTGGCAGCTGACCTTGGTGTTACAAGGCCATGCTCTAACCAACTGAGCTAAATGGCGAGCCCCCGTTCCAGTCTCCTAAAGCCATATTCCCTAGAAATTTTCTTAAAGAACTCTCAGGTTTATAATAGTAGCTTCGTGGAGGTCAGGTCAGAGTAACTTTTATGTTTCTATGAAAAGATAAAAGATATAAAAGAGAAATTTATTTTTACTAATAATAGAGGCTGCTAGAAATCCTGCATGCAAGTCAGCCTGTATTTGCCTCTGTGAGAGGCTTTTATGTAATAGACAGAAAAAAGTACGAACTAAATGACAAAAACGTCTCCTGAAGTTTATTATGAATGAATTAATATTATTTTAAGTAAATCAAGAAAAATTCAGGATTATATTTCTGACTGGTAACATCAGACATATCAGAAAGCATGTTCCATATTTGTCAATAAATGTATTTTTTGTCTTGCTGTCATCCAGAAGTTTATTTTGTTGGAATAAATTGCAAATTATCATGTTAACATATTTATTATTACTAATTTTACATTGTAATATGTTTCAGACATTATTTAAGCCACTGTAACAGTCTCTGCCTTTTGATCTGCCAGTTTTGCTGATATGTTAATCATGAAACCGTGTACTCATATATTCCTAAAGGAAAAGAATGCGAATTGTTGGAAAACTAAAATAAAATAAAAAGAAGGAAACATGCACAATACTGCTTTGATAATTCCCAGGTGCCGAGTTGCCCAGTTCATACTATAGAAAGAAACCGTAATATTATTGAGAACAAATATCATAGACAGAATGCTCATTGCTGAAGATAAGGAGAGAACAAGACAGGTAAAAATCACATAGATTACATTTTAAAGCTTTGAAGTTTCTATAAAGTAAATCCTAAAGAAATTCATTTACTCTAAATATTTAGTCTTCAAGAAAGGGGGCAATGTCATATTTTGGCATCAAAAACTCCCTATCAATTTCCTTCATTCCTCACGCAAGTTTAAGAGTGAAAAGACAAAGTGAATATATTAAAATGAATAGCCAATTGTTAATCGAAATAATGCAAATGAAAATGATATAAATGAATCAGTGTTTTGTAGAACTACATTATTGAGCTATAAGTGAGTATTAATTAATTTTCCTGGCTTCAGTTTTCTTTCCCATAAATTTTACTTTTGTTTACAACCAAGGCAACTCTAACCTTGTGTTTCTGTGGTTGCAAACACATTTATTTCTGTTGATTATACTTAAAAGAATATACATTAAGAATAAAAATAATCATAGCTACTATTAAGCTCAAGAATTGTGATTATGTCATCAACTTTAAGTTTGGCATCAGAATTCAAGTTTGTAAATGGCATCAGAATTCAAGCTAAAACAAATATTTCGATCCTAAAAGTACACAATCTTGGAAACTGAAAAACGATGTTTAAATATCCAAACAACAGACATAATTCATAAATATTGTAGAAATCTATAATTCAAGATGTACTGCACACATAAAATATTTGATTATATAGAGAGGTTTTATGTGAAGTCATTGTTGAAGGGACTTTTAACATTGATCTGTGAATGCATGTTTCCTTTTCAACAGAGGATGTGTTTAATTTTTCTGTTTTAATGGGAATGAAAGAATATCACAAACATTCTTAAAGGGAAAATAGTCCATTGCTTCACTTCATTGGAAACATTAACACCAATATTTAAATCTTCAATTCTTTTACATTTCCATTATTCTTTTCTTTTCTTTGTTTTTCAACAATAGAATTTTTTGAAAGAAAAAAGTTCATTATGAGAAACCACACAATAATTACAGAATTCGTACTCTTGGGCATATCAGACAGGCCAGAACTTCAGGTTGTGATTTTTGTCTTTTTATTTATAACTTACATATTAAGCATCACCGGAAACCTAACCATCATCATCCTCACCTTGATGGACTCTCATCTAAAGACTCCTATGTATTTCTTCCTGCGGAATTTCTCCTTCTTAGAAATTACCTTCACCAGTGTTTCCATCCCTAGATTTTTGGGGGCAATCATTACAAAAGTCAAGACCATTTCCTATAACAAATGTTTAGCTCAATTATTTTTCTTCATCTTCATGGGTGTGTCTGAATTTTTTCTCCTAACTGCCATGTCTTATGATCGTTATGTTGCCATCTGCAAGCCCTTGCATTACACCACCATCATGAACAAGAACATTTGCACCCTGCTGGTCTTTGGTTCTTGGCTGGGAGGATTTCTGACCATTTTCCCACCCCTCATGCTTATCCTCAAGTTAGATTTTTGTGCCTCTAATGTCATTGATCACTTCTCCTGTGACTATTTTCCCATTTTACAACTCTCATGCTCAGATACACGGCTCTTGGAGATGATTGGCTTCTACTTTGCTTTTGTTACTCTGCTGTTCACGTTGGCATTAGTGATTCTGTCCTACATATGCATCATTTGCACCATTCTGAGAATCCCATCTGCCAGTCAGAGGAAAAAGGCTTTCTCCACTTGTTCCTCCCACATGATTGTCATCTCAATCTCTTATGGAAGCTGCATATTCATGTATGTCAAACCCTCAGCTACAGAAAGAGCATCTTTGACCAAAGGAGTAGCTATCCTCAACACTTCAATTGCCCCCATGTTGAACCCTTTTATATACACCCTGAGGAACCAGCAAGTAAAACAAGCTTTCAAAAACTTGGTCCATAAAGTAGTGTTTTATAAAAACAAATGAAAGTATATATTAACATAAAAGAATGTCATTATGAAGATTCAATTATGGAAAATGAGATTTTAACTTATCCACTACCCTATATCCACCTCAGGGCTACCTGCAAAGCTGAGCTCATTTGCTTCAGCTTTCTTTTTAACGTGAAAGTGACTATGTTGTGTCTTCTATTAAAACAATCTGAAGGTTCCATGTAATCATTGATTTACAATTCTGAATAGAAAACTAGTGGCTGTCAAACATAAATCACTTTGCTGGTTATTCTAAATAATTAAAAATTTTTATACCTCAATGGCTCAAAGGAGTAAACACTATTTAAATCAATTTACTCAATTTGTTTCATCTCTTTACTAAAAGTTTATTTTTAAAGGTTATATGAAACATGAACTAAATTAAATATCTGTAACAAACATATTATGTGCAGGTTATCTGCATTATCTGTCCAACTCTTCCTACTCAACTCATGGATTTGGGTATTTGTTTTCCTACTTAGAAGTAATAAATTCATTACACTCTTTATTTCTTAGTTATGTTAAAGGCATATGCTATATATGTTGTTATTTATCTGCATTTTGTATTTGAAATTATATTTAAAAAATGAATGTTTAAGCAAACACCATTACTGTTAGGAAGCTGGAAGTCTGATAGGAATTTTCCAAGTAATAATAGCTCCTCTGTAGAGCGCACTTACTCTGAGCCATATGCTGGGCTAGGTATGTTCTACATTATATCTTATTCAATCTTCACAGCCATATGGCAAAATAGACATGATTATCTCTTTTTTACAAATGTGTAAATTGATGCTCAGAAAAGTTGAGTAGTTTGTCTGAGTAGCCAGTATGACAGCCTAATTTATAAAACAAACAAATAAATAAAACTAGTCTTTGCTCTATTTTTATACATAGTAGAAAATCTGTAAGTACCTGAAAATAGTGCATAACTTTTACTAGGACCTGAACAATATTATTGTCTTTTTTCAGTAACATTCTCTCATTTGGACATTATTATATTATTGTAGTCTAGTCAGGGAAGGTACTAACTCCTAATATTATAACTGGCCTATACATTATAAGATTAATTAATCAAAACAAAGTTTGTCAACTGCCATTGCTTGTGAGTGATGTGTGTGAGTAGGCGAAAACAGTATAAAGTGTTAGCATTATTATTATAGCAAAAATTCATATTGGAATGCACATTAAAAGTAATGGAGATAATGAATGTATTTAGTCAAGGTAGTGGATACCCAGCTTTAAAAACGGCGTGGAGAATTGGGTAGAGATCCACATGAAGAAATTAGCTATTTGACTGCTCTCTCTGCATTAAAAAATAATGACAAAGGAAAAAAATTTCACTTAGTGTGATTGTTTGTTTGTTGTTATTTTCTGTCTCATTGGACACAGTCCCCCAAGCTTCCTTTTCCATTGTAACTGCTAATGTGTATTATGTTTTATATTCCTTAGTGTTTTGTGTACATTCCTCTTCTGGTAATTTTGATTCATGAATTAGTCCCCTGGAGCCAGTGGCAGAGAGTAAATAAAATATAAGATAGTTCATGCTACATAAAATCTATATAGAAACCATCCCAGTTTTAAAACACCTTCTGATATTTTTCTATTTTATATTTTTGCTCCTTCTTCACTCTATATAATCAAATATATATATCTCTACTCTGGATAAAATGGTACAATTAAGACAAAAACAGTGAAAATAGAAAGCAAACTTGTTCAATGAGAGAAAGAGAGAATGTTCTAAAATATTCTGGTCCCTGGATTACAACAATGGCATTTGCTAATATTTTTACTATTCCAGCATTTGAGAGTTAGCCAAACTGTATGAAAATCAGAGGTAAGTCACACATAAAGAAGGCAGAGGAAGTGTCAAATCTTAGCATTGATTCATTAATTAACAGCTCAACTTTTGATCAAATTAATTAGGATATATTGGGGTTATATTTTAAAACTTGGCATATTTAAAATGTATGAAAAGGATTAATATGTTTTACTATTATATAAGTTTATTCAGTCTCTATAAATTAAAAGCAGGAAATTAGTATCTGTAAGTCTCTGTGTTTTTAAGTGAATATAGGCTACATAGTTATGTGTTTAAGAACAGACTTTAATTTTAAGTAGTCTGAGATTATATTTGTCATTTGCTAGCTATATGAATTAATTTAAGTTACATAATCTCTTTGGGCCTCAGTTCTTCATTTGGAAAAACTGTGTTATAAGAACTAAACAAAATAAAGTATAAAACTTTTTAGGCCACTTGAATACATATTGCCTTTAATAACTCACAACTAATATGAATATCCTTCCCAACACTGGGAATTAATTCCAAATAAAAGAAAAATAAAATAAATAATATGGCTACTTTAGAGCCTATTAAGTGCAATACAATTTAAAGAATAGTTTTACTTATATAGTTTTATTTATATAATTTCAATTAATTCTCAAAAACAATCTTGAAATTTCAATTCCATTTTAAACAGAGAAAAATTAAAAATTAAAGAAGTTATGTAAGTTATCCACATCTATTAAATTGCCTACTTATATTTTTAATCCATGCCTTTAAAAATCATATACTTTCTGTGATAAATTGGCCTTATAATGGCATAAAGAAGAAATTAATAGTGTTTTGATGCCATAATTCTATTATTAATTTATTTCTTTTTCCTTCCATGTTTAAATTACAGATGGCTAGTTAATGAACTGAAAGTGTGAGGTTATTAGTGGATACTTGATATCAACCCTTATAAATGTGACTGTTATTATTTAATTATCATTAAATGGGATTTGGTGATATCCCTCTTCCCTTGATTTGTTTCTATACACACCCATCTGAATGCTGAAAATTAAACCTGCCCATCATTATTGAAATGAAAAAATATAATTTATCCATATTTCTCCAGGGAAACAGTAATCTAAAATAATTATAAAAATAGTAAAAATCAATTCATTCTAATAAAATAATTATTTCAACCACTCAATGGGTTCTCCTGATGAGTCTTTGTTTCACTCAGGCTGACAGAAGTTTTCAAAGGAACATTTGTGCTGTAGCCCACAGCCTGAAATGACTGAGCAGTACCAGAGTGTTTTTAGTGTAATGATGAACCGGAGTTAGATTGCCCACAACAGTGAATTAAATAATTTCCCTTTCTTTTGCATTAACCTAAACCTTGAACAATTATTTACATTTATAAAGTAGAAAGAAACAGGGTGGCCTGATCGATAAAGTACATTTGTTTTGGAGATATGCTTTGTGAATTTTTCTAATGACCTCTAATGAGATTTAGCTGAAGAAGAGAGAATTGAATAAACATAGAAAAAGTTGGGAAAACTATACTTTAAATGTTATTATATTACTAAGGGAGGTCTCAACCCTGTGCAACATAAAACATTATTTAAAACAACACACACATACACACAAACACACCCCAGAAATACAATGGAACCGTTCAAAGTCTCTAGTTTGCTCTCTCAAAGGGATGTCTCTACATTCTTCAAATCTAACATACCCTTTAATATAGAGTTCCTGGGCCGGCCCGGTGGCGCACTGGATAAGTGCGCCGCTTGGGAAGCGCGGCGGCGCTCCCGCCGGAGGGTTCGGATCCCACATGCGGACTGGTTCCCGCTCACTGGCTGAGCGAGGCGTGGGGGCAATGCCGAGGGTTGCAATCCCGTTGTCGGTCCCCGGTCTGGTACGGGGGCAACACTGAGGGTTGCGATCCGTTGCTGGACATGGAAAAAGACAAAAAAATATATATATATATAGAGAGAGAGTTCCTTTCTCACCATGGACACCAAAGAAATTTCCAATATCTTACCGAGTTTCTTTAGATATAGAGTTCCTTTCTCACCATGGACACCAAAGAAATTTCCAATATCTTACCGAGTTTCTTTAGAGAGCCATTGTTAATATTTACTTGATGACAGGGATTTGGGAAGAGCAGGATATGGGAATGTTTTCAGAATGAAAGTCCTGATGCTTTACAGCCATCTTTTTTTTGTGTGTGTGTAACAAATATTAATTATCACTGTGAGTTTTCACTTTGAATGGATCAAAGAATCCATCTCAGGAATCCTTAGAAAGCAAGTAAAAGTCATTTTGATTAAATGGGTGGCAGGAAATGAAAGCTTAATAGCCTAAGTCATGTTCTTCCAGGAGATATGAATCTGTATTCAGAAATAAAAAGCTAAAGTGATTAGTTAAATGCTTGCAGGTATCCTTCATGCTCTACACGAATGTATTCTTGGATCTTTAGGATCTAGGAATCATATGCACCTTGTTGAATATTGAAGATGAGTTCTACCAGAGGACTATGAATCCAGATCATTATTATAAAACTCATTTTAAGTTGGAATATATGTACAATCCATATAATTTTCATAAATATTTGTACATAAAAGTATAATATGCCCCCTTCAGTTATTGATATTGGATCACCTGCTTCTAGTACTTAAGCCTGTTCCTGTGGTCTTTGAAGACTGGTTAGAGAAGTGTTTGTTTTTTGTGATGCTTTCATGACCACTCGCAATACTTATTTATAAGTTCCCTCACAGCTTTAACTAGCAGCAAAAAAAAAAAAAAAAAAAAAAAAAAAAAAAAGTGAGTCTTGGTATTATTATTCACAAAAGTGTTAAAATTAACAGTAAATTTAAGAGGAAATATATATGTATAAAAGTTGAAATATGGTTAATAATACAGTGCATTGATACAGTGTTCACTATGAAATAGTACTAATATAAGGAAAATATGGTATATTTACACAATATACCATAAAAAAGAATGAAATACTGCCATTCTCAGCAACATGGATGAACTTGAAGAAAATTATTTTAAGTGAAATAAGCCAGGCACAGAAAGAGAAAAGAGAAATGCCATATGTCCTCACTTATAAGTGGAGGCTAAAAAATAAATAAATAAACAAAAAAGAAAGATGCAAAAGTAACAATAATACGTTGAACTTTCAAAAGTAGAGAACAGAACTGAGGTTACCAGAGGTAGGA